CTGTGTGTGCCACCCTCTGAGCCCCCAGGGCCCTGTGTGCCCCAGGGCTGTGTGTGCCACCAAGGGCCCATGAGGTCCTGTGGCAGTGAGGGACACCCGTGAGGTAAAGGTGCTCCCCATGACGCCTTCAGATTTTAGGTTTTGTATTTTCCACATCCTGTACTGCACTGGTGTAGAACTCTGAACTCCCCATGGAATGTTAGAAGGCCTCCACATTTTGGTCAGACAAAAATCCCTTTGGGCCTGCAACTCAAGGACACCTCGTGCTCAGGCCTCAAATATAAACAAAACTGAATTTTGGGGAGCAAGCTGGGGGTATCTGCCTTCATTACCTGAAGTTGGAATTGGAGAATTAACCCTTGATGTGCAAAGAAACCAAACTTATTTCAGTCTGAGAAACTCACTACCAGTGCCCATTTTGGGTGTAGCCTCATAGGAGGCTTTGCCTGCCCTCAATGTACCTGAAGACCCTTCATGAAATACGTCCACTTTTATCCTTTTTATCTGGCCTCTGTTTTGAGAAACTCTAAAAACTGTTTTTGAGAAACATTGTCCATTTTGGGTGTAGCCTTGTGGGAGGCTTCGTGTGCCCTCAATGCACCTGAAGGCCCTTAATGAAATACATTCACTTTTATACTTTTTACTTTTTGTTTGGCCTCTGTTTCAAGAAACTTGTGATCATCATCCATTTTGGGTGTAGCCTCATAGGAGGCTTCATCTGCCCTCAATGTACCTGAAGGCCCTTCATGAAATATATCCACTTTTATCTTTTTAACTTTTCGTCTGGCCTCTGTTTCAAGAAATTAAAAAAACCGTTTTTGAGAAACATTATCTATTTTGGGTGTAGTCTCATGACAGGCTTCATCTGCCCTCAATGTACCTGAAAGCCCTTCATGAAATCATCAACTTTTATCTTTTTAACTTTTTGTCTGGCCTCTGTTTTGAGAAACTAAAAAAATTGGTTTTGAGAAACATTGTCTATTTTGGATGTAGTCTCATGACAGGCTTCATCTGCCCTCAATGTACCTGAAGGCCCTTCATGAAATACATCTACTTTTATCTTAATTTTTTGTCTGGCCTCCATTTTGAGAAACTCATGACCATCATCCATTTTGGGTGTAGCCTCATGGGAGGCTTCATCTGTCCTCAAAGTACCTGAAGGCCCTGCATGAAATATATCCACTTTTATCTTTTTAATGTTATATTTTTCTCTTTTTAAGCACCATCCAGACCCTCCTCCTCCCTTCCCAGTGCCACCCCTGGTCCTTGGCCACCCCAAACCTGTGCCCCATGCAGGTGACACTCACTGGCTGCCTTGGGGGGGTGTCTGCTCTTTACACACCCAGCTGGGACCAAGGTGAGCAGGAAGAGGAACGCCAGTAAAGTCATTTTTCTTGCATTCCCTGGAAAAAAACCGTGGAAGATATTGAATAATCATATTTGCAAAATGTTAATCATCTAATAATCTTCGTGCTTGGAGGATCTGAGAGTTGTGGCTATGTGAAGTAGAGAGAAATTTGGTTTTTAATTGCTCCTGTTGAGGAATTAGATGGGAAAAAGGGAGTTAATAATAATTCTGTCCTTGCCTGGGCTGCTGCCTGTGGATCTCATCCCAGCACCCCAATATTCCCTCTGTCACAGAATTCCTGATTGGAGCCTCTATTTAGTGACTCTTTGTTTCCCTGGTCTCTCCAAGGACTCACAAAAGAGAATAAAGAGGATATTTTCACCTCTACTTTTCAATTCTTTCCTCATCTGCTGAGGAATTGAGTGAGCTGTAGGGATTTACCTCCAAAAATCAGATTTTATATGGATTTCCTGAGCACACCTCTTGATCCACCTGCCTGTTCCAACTTCATAGAAGGCACCCACAGGAGCTGATGAGAGGTGCCAAGGAAAACCCTTGTAAACAACCAGAGCAATTTGATTTCAGGGCATCAAGTGACACAATTTTATTGAGGGTAATTCCCAGCAGAAGAAAAAAATTTTTATTTCCCTGTTAAGATGAAAGGTGTTCTGTTGTGCCTCTTCCTTGTAGTGTGATTTCTCCTTGCTCAATGGCCACTTGTCCATGGCTAATAATTAACTCACTGAGCATGAAAAATTCTCTTTCAAACACATCCCAGCAGTGGCCAGCAAGGCAAACATAACAAATTCTGCACAAAGCAAACAAGGTGGCACAAAGAGAACCTTGATGTTTGCCCCTGGCTGACAGCAGCTCCTCTGCCTGATGGTCACCTCCAGCCTGTGGTGCAAGCAGGACCCAGCTCAGCCTTGCCCAGCTGGGCAAAGTTGAAATAATCTTTTATTCTGATTTCTTCTCAAAGTTCAGCTGGTTTTGGGGTGCGGCCCATGTTGTTCTGTCAGGTCTGGAAGGGTTACCAAGATCTGAACCCACCCAAACCAGAGGTTCCTGTGCTCTTGCACCACCAACACCGACAGCTCTGAGCTGTCCCCAGCCCTGTTTTCTCAGATGCTGTTAAAATGTAAATGGAAAATGACAACATAATGACCTTTCCTCTTGCTTTCCAACTCAGGGCAGATAATTTTGTTGTTGTTGTTGTTGACTTCATGTAGTCCTGAGAAGGAATAACACTGTTATTTATCTGTTTTGATTTACTGCTGGGCTCTAAACTTTGCTGCAGCTCCTCTGCGTGACAAGGATATTTTACACATTTTGTGTAAATGGGGAGGCCAGACCCCCCTCAGCCAGTCCCTCTTTAGAGATGTGTTTTTAGTGTCTTTACCCTTAAAACTGGCTGATGGTCATTTCCAGGACACTTCTCTGGATGTGGGTTGGGACCATCACCTTCCTCTCCAGTACTGTTCTATGGCTAAATTTTGATATTTTCCAGGTTTCCAGCCGTAGTGCTTTCTGGCCAGGCTGGCTTTTCCAAATCTCCTCCATAACAAGACTTTCCTCATATTTCTGTTGTGCTTTTGGGATTCTGTCAGTTCTGGAGAGAACTATCTTCAGATTTATGGTGATTTGGGAGAGACCAGGACCTGACCCTCAAGCTGTGCAAACTTAAGCCTACAGCTGCTCTGTCTGGGTATGGAACACCAGAGTCCAACTCCCAAATTCTGCTGAATTCCTGCTGCAGGGATTGCCAGGGATCAGCCCAGTCCAGCCCATTAGATATTAACTATTGCCCCTGACAATGACCAGCGTCAAGGCCATGCCATGGCATTGACAAAACACAAAGGTTTAATTGTGACATTTGTCACTCCAGCCTGGGATCCCTTCTGGCTTTTTGTGGAATGTTTGCTGCTATTCAAATAGTTGAGAAATAATAACATAAATGGAATATATTGCATATATTCTATATATTTTATATATATGTAATATTTTGCCCCTCAAATCCTCTTGACCCATGGGGAAGATGTGCAGATGCAAATTGTTGTAGAGAGAGTTGTGCTGTGAGGAGGTGCTGGAGGCTTCTGTGCCCAGAAAAAGGGCACAGCAACAAGTTTAATTTTGATTATTCACGTCTTCAACTGCCCATCAAAGTCACCGCTGATCTTGCCTTGCCATGGGTTTTATTTGCTGCAGTGGAATGGGAAAAGCCACCAGTCCACCCCATTTCCATGGGGTTAAGAATGAGCAATCAGCTTCCAGATAAAAAATCGAGCTGACCAAACATGTGCAGATATAATAAATAAATTTTTCCAGTTCCAAGCAGATGCCTCCTTTACAATATTGAGACAATAAATAAAGGGGGGCTCATTTGGTGATGCACTGAGCAGAAACAGTTGGGTAGAACTTGGTAGAAGATTATCAGAGTTTACCAAGAAATCAGCAGTTTTTAGGAATTCCTGCAGTGCTTGGGACCCTCTGAACTAAGAATGTTTGTGTCAGTTCAGCATATGAACAACTTATTTCAGAAAAGAAATGAATAGAATAGAATAGAATAGAATAGAATAGAATAGAATAGAATAGAATAGAATAGAATAGAATAAGCAGGCAGCTCTTGTGGCAGTGGAATGGGGAAAAGCCACCAATCCACCTCATTTCCATGGGGTTAAGAATGTGCAATCAACTTCCAGATAAAAGATCAAGCTGAGGTTGTGCTCCTGGTTCAATTTTATGTTCCTTTCAGCTGTTGGATCCACTCTACACTAACCTGAAACCTGATTTTATGTTCCTTTCAGATCCTCCATGCACCCACTTGTTGTTTTTCAGATCAGACCTTCATGGTTCATTTGTGTCTTGGGCCAGAAAGTGAAACCAACTTCAGCACTATTAAATTATTTTAGTTTAATTCTCCTCTGCCTGCGAGGAGCAGCAACAACCCATGGCCCAAGAGCACAGGTTCACCTCAGTCTGGAGGGATGGATGGTGCTACTGTGGATTCATTAACAATTGCAATTAGGTGATGTTTATTGGTAATTCAGAAATTTATTGCATCTATAGGAATGTTCCCTTTGCAGAGTGGGGATTCAGGTGTGTAGGATCCACACCTTCACGGGTCTGAGTGGGACAGGGCTCTGCCAGGCTCCTCTGATTTCACTTTTAGGACACCACATCCAGTCCATTCATTTAAGCTTCAGGTTCTACTTATCCTCCTGTAACTGTACAAACTTCTCAGGGAGCTTCCAAAGCAGCTCCTTCAGGACACAGCTGCACCAATTCTCTTCTAAAATTTCAAAATATGTCTGTTGGAGTTCAAAAGCCAGCAATGACCTCAGGCTGCGTCGCAAAATTTAGATTCCTACGGTAATAATTACTGACTTTTCTTTCCTATGTTAAAACTTAATGCAAATATTGTAATGATAATTTATGTTGGGGTCTTTTTCCCAGAAATTAAATATTAAAATTCTGCTGCAGAGAAGAAACCATAACTGCCACAAGCCTGTTCCTATGGTTCTTCCAGAAGAAATCAGCCTCCCACCAGTGAGCTCTGAACACGAAATGGCTCCGAATCGCTGCTTCCCTCCCGTGTGAGGAAGGCTCCTCAAAAGTGGCTCAAGACTCGTGTTCTTCTCCTTCCCCATCCCAGCACAGCCCTACAAATTGGCATTCCCAGATGCCAAAGCAGCATTACTTACACTCCAGGCTCCTCCTGGCACTTCTGTCTTCCCCTCTCAGGCTGACCCTGGTAGCTCTGTGAGTGTCCAGTGTCCTGTGTCCCCGTGGGGCTGTGGCAGTGCCAGCCTGCTTTAAATACTCCCTGCACCTTCAGCCCTGCCTTTCCACCTGCTGTGCCTTAAAGGAACAACATCCAGCAGCGCTGCCAGGTGAGCTCTGCCCACATGGGGCTGGGAGCCAGAGCCCAGCCAGAGCCCAGCCAATGCCCAGACTGCCCAGACACTGCCCAGCCATTGTCCAGCCAATGCCCAGCCAGAGCCCAGACACTGCCCAGTCAATGCCCAGATACTGTCCAGCCAATGCCCAGACACTGTCCAGATACTGTCCAGACACTGTCCAGACAATGCCCAGCCAAAGCCCAGCCAATGCCCAGACACTGCCCAGACACTGCCCAGCCATTGTCCAGCCAATGCCCAGCCAGAGCCCAGACACTGCCCAGTCAATGCCCAGATACTGTCCAGATACTGTCCAGACAATGCCCAGCCAAAGCCCAGCCAATGCCCAGCCAATGCCCAGACACTGCCCAGCCAATGCCCAGACAATGCCCAGTTACTGTCCAGACAATGCCCAGCCAAAGCCTGGCCAATGCCCAGCCCATGCCCAGCTCATGCCCAGTCAATGCCCAGCCCATGCCCAGCCAATGCCCAGCCAGGGCCCAGCTCATGCTCAGTCAATGTCCAGCCAAAGCCCAGTCAATGCCCAGCCCATGCCCAGCCACTGTCCAGCCCATGCCCAGTCCATGCCCAACCAAAGCCCAGCCATTGTCCAGCCAAAGCCTGGCCCATGCCCAGAACTGGGATCTTCAACAGATTTATCAGATCCTAAAGCCAGCCTTGGAAGTATCTTTCATTTAGCTGAGGGTGTTGAGCTCCGTTTTTTCTATGAATGTGTAGCTCTTGGGGTGAGAAATGATCTTTTGGGGTGAGGAAGGAGCTCTTGGGGCAAGGAGGGATCTTTTGAGGTGAGAAAGGAGCTCTCGGAGCAAGGAAGGATCTTTTGGAGTGAGGAAGGAGCTCTTGGGGTGAGAAAGGAGCTCCTGGGGTGAGGAAGGATCTCTTGGGGGAAGGAAAGAGATCTTGGGGTGAAAAAGGATCTTTTGGGGTAAGGAAGGAGATCTTAGGGTGAGAAAGGAGCTCTTGGGGCAAGGAAAGAGCTCTTGGGGTCAGGAATGATCTCTTGGGTGAGGAAGGAGCTTTTGGGATGAGGAAGGATCTCCTGGCTGTCTCTGTGCTTGGTGGGGATCTCGGACAGAGAGAGCAGCCTCCACCACCTCTCCTGGATGGGAACAAACCCTGGTCCCCTCCAAGCCTCCCACCAGAGCTGCTTCCCTGGGCATTCCAAACATTCCCCAGGTCATGCTGGCAGGACTTCTTTGGTCTCGTGGCCACCACTTGTGCTGGCTGGGCCATGGTGGCCACAGCTGTGTTTGCTCTCCTGGAGCTCCCACTCTCCCAGGCACGGATCCCAAGGGATCAGCTTCCCTGCTTGGTCCTGCAGAGGGATGGAAATCTGCTTTTAACACCTTGCAGAGAAAGGCAGCATGCCCTTGAGCAGAACAAAACCTACAGAAATATGGGAACTTCTACCTGCTGGTGCATCTCAAGGAGTAAAAATTAATCCAAGGTGAATGAAGAATTTTTTTAAAACCAAACCCTCCTTTTCACCCTCAAGGTTTCCAGTAAAACCAACTCCTTGCCTCATGCAAATATATTTGAAATGTATTTCCTTGCTTTAGCACACGAGGAAGCGTTTCCCTGCCAAGTCCCAGGTTCCAAAGCATTTTGGCATCTCCAGAAAACAAACAACCTTCGGATTGCTTTTATTTGGGGAGCGCAGATTGCAGCACGAGCCCTGGTCTGAGCGTGGAACCAACGCTGCTGCTCAGGGCTGGGCTGAATTTCAGCTGCTTCTGAGGCTGTGGAGGTCCCTGCAGCAGAGGGGAAGGAAAATCAGCACTTTGGGGACATGGGTGTCTGAGAAACTGAAATGAGA